TTCCTTCATCTTGGTTCTTTCTATCCAAGGGAAAGTAACTATCATGCAATATAAGAACCTTTCTTATTTAAGATACTTGTGAAATGTTAAGAGAAATTATGCCACTATTATTTCAAACTTGCAAATACACAGCATGTTCATTATTAGCTCTTCATCTGCAATAAGTAAGCCCAGAACTAAAAATAGCAGACAAATAAATGAACCGTTGAGATCCTGGTGAGTTTTTCTCCATTTCCTCTCAGAAATGGCTCTCTCAGCAGGGAGGCTGTACTCAGAAAGCTTCAAAATCATTAAGTTCTTAAGCACCTATTCTTCCTTCAAGCATTCTTCTTTTTCTAATCATTTGTCCAAACCATTAGACCAAAAGCATCTCACAGGTTAAAATTGCTTAACATGAGAGGTTAAGTGGTTTACTGAAGCCTGAATTCTTATTCTCCTTGCATATTTGGCTCATCACGTATAAGGAGAAAGGAGAGCAGGAGGCATGAAAGAGGGGGAAGAAAAGCATTCCAGGATTCCTGCTGCAGAAGTGGCCTTCAGATCAGATAGCTTGGTCCATTTTTTTTTACAAGGGACAGAGGCTGGGGGCCAACTTAGCCACAGAGATAGTTAACAGTGAGTCATGGCTGGACCTCAAACCTCCTGCCGCCTACCCATCACAGGGCCCTGAGGAGAAATGGGTGACTGCAGAAACAGGAATTTGGTAGGACTTAAAGATAAGAAACTGAAATTTCATCACCATGCAACACAGCACCACTTAAGTGGAAATTCTGAGGTCTGAGAGCCTGCCTCCAAAGCCCATTCAGCCCTCACTCCTTTACCGAGCTCTCCAAGCCTGGACAAAGGGAATAATCTTTTGTGATAGTTAATGTCTATTGGGCCCTTATTGTATTCTAGGCACTGAAGACACTAACACCTTACACACTCTGTATGTATTAGCTTATAGAGTCGACCCCATAAATATCAAGGTTTGATTCAGATAGCATTAGAGCCTAACTTCAGAGAGTTCTCAGTGCAGTATTAATAATGCAGATCAATAATTAAATAATATAAATATTAAATAATTAATAGCATAAAAATTAGTACACTTGTGTAAATGTATTTTAATTATTGATGTCATCAAATGAACTCTTCAATTATAATGAATAATGAAGTTTTTAAATAGTATGTTAGTCAGTTTTTCATTTTGTGACCAAAAATACCTGAGGAAAACCATCTAAAGAAGGAAAGGCTTACTTTGGTTCACAGTTTCAGCGGTTTCAGTCCATAGTCTGCTGGCTCTGTTGTTTCTGGGCCTGTGGGGATGCAGACAACCTGGAGGAAGGGCCTGGCAAAGCAAAGCTACTCGCCTCAAGGTGGCTGGAAAGCAGAGAGAAGGAGAAAGAGGCCCAGGACAAGATACACCCTTTAGTGGCCCTCAGTGACCTACTTCCTCCAATTAGATCCCACTGCCTGCAGTTTCCATCACCTCCCAATAATGAATTCAATTATGGACCCATCATTGGATTAATCCATTGGTGAGGGCAGAGCCTTCGTGATCCAATCACTTCCCCAGAGCCTCACTTCTGGACACCGCTGCACTGGGGATATTGTTCAATGGTAGACAGGCCTTCAACACGTGAGCCTTTGGTGGACATTCCAAATCCAAACTAGAGTGAATCAACACTTTTACCACACAAAGAGGTCTCCTCAAAATATTTCTTCCTAAGCTTTGAAGATTCAAGTTTTATTTTAAATTCCATTTTCTTCCCCTGCCATTTCTATTTCCTCTAAAGGAAAGACACATCTTAGGGAAAATATTCAGCATCTTCAGGATGTGGAATATGCCATTGAAAAGTCTTTCTAGAAAAGTCTTTCTAAAGTTTTCCATTGAGTGAGTAGGCATATAAAACACCTTTCCCTTACTGTAAGGATAGAACAAAGCAAGGCATTTGTGTATATTTGGTTAATTTAAAAAAAATAAGTTCAAAAAATAAATGTTTTTAGTGTAAAAGACTCCATAGATTAATCTTTCTGCAATGATTTCCCTGTGTTACAGAAGTGAAATGCAGGAGAAACCCAGTAGGTAGCCTGCTCTCCTCTCAGCCAAACTCCTCACCAGACAGCCCCTTCCTCAGTTTCAGGAATCTCAAGGTGGAAGGTGGCAGGCTGGTGACTTTTGGTGCCTGCCCCTCTGCCTTTCTGTGTTTCATTAAGAAAATGTGGTGAGCCAGCTCATCATTTTTCTGAAAGATCCAAGTGAATTGACATTGAACTCTGTCCAGCTCCTCAGGTTTGCCTAGGACAAGAATAAATCATTTGCTATTGTGGCCGCTGCTTTTTCTGTTGACATACTTTGTTGTAACCATAAATATGAACCCTGAACGTATGAGAATATAGACCAGGTCCAGGGACTAATTTTTGAGGAGTGAGCTTTGAAATGACTAAGAAGTGATTCTGAGCTGGGCATGGTGGCACACCTCTGTAATCCCAGCAATTTGGGAGCTTGAGGCAGAAGAATCACAAGTTTGGGGCCAGCCTTAGCAACTTAACGAGACCCTGTCTCAAAAAAATAAAAAGGTTGGGGATTTAGTTCAGTGGTAGAGCAACCCTGGGTTCAATCCCCAGTACAAAACACATACAAGACAAAGAGTGCTTCTGGTTAGAAGGTGTGGTGTAACAATTAAATATTAATGTAAAAAAATACATGAAAGAAAATTTGCAATTCCTAGCACATTGTAATCTTGCAAAAATAGTAGATGCAACTCTTAATACTACAAAATGAATAAGTGAAATTACTCCACACACAGGAATATTTGCTAAAGAAAATTTGCCTTTATATAACTGATATAATTTCAGTCCAGTAATTTTTCAGACAGAAGGCATCTAATTATCTGTCATTCTTTCAAATAGTAGCAATAAAAACCATTGTCTCAGAGAATAACCTGCCATCTGCAAGGATCAGTATTTTATGTGTAGCAGTTCAATGAATACCCACAATGTGCCCAACCTTGTGGGTACTGTGGTCCCCATTTACAGATGTAGAAATTAAGGCTCAGATTTTAACTCAGCTGCCCAAGCCCATCCTGCTTCTCACGACCAAGGCAGGATTTCAGCCCAGTGGGATCCCTGATGCCCACGCTCCTGAACTCTATCCTATGCTGGAAATAAATGTGAATGTCAGTGTGGGGGTGGAGTAAGCTGCACAGTTTAAATGAAGGTAAACCACTAAGTCTCATTGTCCTATTTATAGGTCATCTATTAAAAACTTAAAGGGAGCAATTTTACGGGTGTCCTGTAAGATTTTATAGGTTCTCACAAGGGTTCTATATATAGCACAATAGCATATCATGAGTTAATCTAAGGCCATGGTTCTCAAGCTTTTGAGCTCAAAACTATTTTGCCCTGCAAAAAAAAAAAAAAAAATGATGAGGGACCTCATGAAGCTTTTGTTTACATGAATCATGCTCATTGATATTTTTTATATGACAAATTAAAGTGAAGAAATATTTTTTATTTATTTCAAAAGCAATAAACACAGGCCAACATACATAACATATTTTATGCAAAATATCTATTTTCGAAAGCAAAGCCTTGAGTGAGGATAGAGAGTCAGTCACGTGTCTGTAAGTCTCCTTCATGACCTCCTGCAGGGAAGACAGCTGAGTCAGCATTAAGGTTCTGCTCCACATTCATTCTGTCCTGCCACCACCAGCGGTCACACAGCCACCAAGAAATGCCACTGAAGACTCAGGAGGCAGAGTTAAAATAGTAAATAATGCCTTAGTGTTCTGAGGTGAAACCTCTAGAGGACTGAGGAGTTCTACTGCCAACTTTAGTCCACAGTATAACAAAGTCATCACTCGATTGCCCCTTGTCCCCAAAGTACCTCAAGAGAGATGAAAAATTGTCATTGTGAAGTAACGATAAGCATCAAGTAGGAAAAGCTTTACAAGTAATATCACAGGTCCAAAACCAAGATGTTAAAGAAATAAGTGAACTCTATTCAAAGACCAAAACTAGTATATTTCTATCTTTGCAGAATAAATGAATAGAATCCTTTGTTGTAAAAATGAAGTGTAGTTGAAGTGTCATTCTATCTTATTAGCATTAACCAAACTGATCAAATATTATGTTGTTAAGGGAAGGTAGTAGTGAAATATCATTAGACACATAACCTCATAAACATGAAATCTCCAGGATAGACTGGGAATCTTGGATAAGATGACAGAGAGACACTTTATGCAACGTTTGGAAACTGGTAGAACACATTAGAAGTCGAATCGTTTGCTTATTTATGTGACTTCATCTAAAAAATATTTTGGCTCTGAAATATGCCTTTTCCTCCTTATTTTAAAAGCCAGGTCGTAAAACAAGGTATTTATAAGTTATTTTTGATTTTGTTAATTCATATATTCAACTTTGTGTTTACCATACCACTTCAAAATGAAAAATGGTTATCTCAAAGCAATTGAGTTACTCCTAATGATGTTTAGCTTAACATAATGTCCTAGGTGCTCCAGAGAGCTGTGCCCTATTTCACAAGTATGTTAGCAGAGTTGAAGAACCAAAGAATCAATGTTTTACCACAAGGGAAAACAATCTATTTTTTAAAATATATTTGAATTGTGAAAGAACACTAACACTAAAGGAAATATTTCCCTCATTGCCAACTTGGCCATATCTCAAAACAATCATCTGATTGCATATTATGGGAAGATCACACCTACAACGAAGTTTCCAGATGTTGGATTTGATAAGAAGAGGAATTAGTGTCAGCATCAATGGATTCCTCTTATGCCAATTTCCAGGGCAATATTTTACATTTTCTAGTAGTACTATTTTCCCACAGTGTTTTTTGTTTGTTTGTTTTCTTTTTGTTTTCCCTAATGTCTAGGTACTGTAAAAAACAAACAGCATACAAACAAAACCCACCTACATGGGGTTTTTGGAAGAGAGCTGCTTGTTTAAGTAGAAATCCTTGCCAAATAAGCACTGAGTAGTTGTCTGGGTTCCCCCAGGTCCTCCGCAGCAATAGCTTGCTGGAGTCCACAGACTACTGGTTGCAGAATCAGACGACGCCCTGCCAGATTGGTTTTGTGGAAGACAAGTCTGAAAACTGTGCTTCTGTAAGTATCCAGAACTCTCGGGAATGTCGTGGATAAAACAGGGAAATGGCACATGCATCCTTGCTTGAGATAGAAGTGTTGTAATTTATAAAACATAAGTTTGGAAAAGTGTCCTTTTGAAAATACAAAATTAGTTTGTATGGTCTGTCAACAAAAGGACATTGAAAGCTAATGCTTCTACCTCAAACTTGCTCATTTCAACAGGTAAACTCATCTGATCAATTCTCCAAGGGAGAAAAATTTTTTTCCAAGAGAAAAAAGTGTTTACATTTTCAAAAGCAACTGAGAAAAAGGTTCAGAAATAGATTTATAGAATGACAAATAAAAACTATTCAATAGTGCTCTAAGATTCTTTTTAATTTATTTTATAACCCTGACCAGTAGGTATGTTCCAATGTAAATATTATGTAAAATTTTTCCACCACCCTTGAGTTATAGTTATAACTTGAAAACTCAACCTAAGAAATAAAGAGGCATGCATTTTAATACACTGTAGCTGTGCTTGACATACAAAACCTTTCTTTGCCGGATCAACAATAATAATTCCTACAGCTTAGAATGCAAATGCATACTGTTGATATGAAATAGGCTCCTTCCCATATGCTCCATGAAACTATATTTTTCATTTTTATTGAACTCATCCAGCTCTTATGGGGTCATGATTATAGAGATGGGAAAGCGTGTTTTCAAAAAGGAGAGAAATATAATGTAATTCTCCTGACTAAATTGAGAGCATCAGCTCTGAGCTATTCCTGGAGGTAAGTTGAATGCCAGCATTTCTGTTAAAAGGGAAAAGCAGAAAATGGGATGGGAGGCTTTTTATATACTGAGCAGACCAGAACCGGCAGACAGAGGATGTAAAACGCCTCACACAGCAGGCTCTCATAGCCCAAGGAATGCACAGTTCACTGTCGCTCATCAGTATATCTTTCTTTAGGCAAATGGTTGGGAATCTTCACCTTTTAGTACATTTGGTTGCTTTCCAGAAAACTAGTTGCTGGCTAAAAATCTCTGGGGAAAACAAGAAAGGATTAAGGGGCAAGTAATTTGACAGTAGTACCTCCTTTGCAAAGTCAATTCTGAAGTGAGCTGGAAAGTACAGGCAATTGCTGGTTCTGATGTGCAATTAAACAGGTATCAAAGGTAAAAGAGAGAAATACAGAGTACAAGCTGTTAGGGGCCACACATTGGTCAAAGTTGTCATCCGAACAGTTCCAGTATCACACGGTTTTTCCACTTGGAGAACACACAGAACTTGGGACACTAAAAATGGTGTAATGAAGGGCTAAGAGGTCTTCTCTGAACTTCCTATTTGGGGAGTCTGTGTTGTAGGTCTATAATTAGAAATGCTAGCTAATTTCTAGTTGAATTTAAAGATTACCATTGTATTATCCTATATTCAAAAAAACTCCTCCCACTCCCTCGACAAACCCAGTATACTTAAATTTGGGCTTAAAACTGTGACCTCCTTTCTTTATTCTCTTTTTCTTTCTAGTATCAGATGACTTCGGGGAGGTTGAGCTGATTCATCCTGCCTTTAAGGTTCTTCTTATTCTTCCCCCAAGGGGAAAATCCTAAACACAAGTAAAAGGCATAATATTAGATTATTTGCTTCCCCTCAGAAATTTTAATAATTAAAACTGACACAAAAATCAAAACTTGTCCATAATTCTATATTCAAGAGAAATCCCCCCCCCTAAAAAAACTTAGCCCTAATCTCTCATAAACTATCCTGTAGTCAATTTTTCTTAATTTTGAGGTCCTTCCTCTTTCTGGCTTGGCAAATATATGTAGGTGGGGAGGATAAACCAGAGACCAGAGTTGCATAGTGCTAAGGAGTAACTGTCACCTACAAAAGAAACACAGACCAAGTCTAGAGGTGCTGGACCAGGTCAAGGAGCTCTTCAGCAAAAGAGCCACATAGGAGTCTCCAGACGGTCAGGGAGAAAGTACTTAATTCCCTCTTAAAACCCACTTTGCAAAATGTTCGACATCTCTAGTAATTAGAGAAATGCAAATCAAAACTACTCTAAGATTTCATTTCAATCCAGTCAGAATGGCAGTTATCAAGAATACAAGCAACAATAAGTGTTGGTGAGGATGTGGGGAAAGGCACACTCATACATTGCTGGTGGGACTGCAAATTGTTGCAACCAATCTGGAAAGCAGTATGAAGATTCCTTAGAAAACTTGGAATGGAACCACCATTTGACCCACTATTCTACTCCTCAGTCTATATCCTAAAGACCTAAAAACAGCACACTACAGTAACACAGCCACTTCAATGTTTATAGCAGCACAATTCACAATTGCTAAACTGTGGAACCAACCTATATGCCCTTCAACAGATGAATGGATAAAGAAACTGTGGTACATATACACAATGGGATATTACTCAGCATTAAAAGAGAAGAAAATTATGGCTTTTGCAGGTAAATGGATAGAGTTGGAGAATATCATGCTAAGCAAAATAAGCCAATCTCTAAAAATCAGGGGCTGAATGTTTTCTCTGTTAAGTGGATGCTAGTCCATACGGGGGAGGGGGCATGGGATAAGTGGAGGAACTTTGGATGAGGCAAAGGGGAAGGGGAGCAGGTGGCAAAGGGGTAAGAAAGATGGTGGAATGAGATGGTCATCATTACCCTAGTTACATGTATAATTACAGGAATGGTATGATTTGACTTCATGCACATCCAGAGAAGTGAAAAATTCTGCTCCATTTGTATACAATGAATCAAAGATCTTTCTATTGTCATGTATACCTGATTAGAACTAATTAAAAAAGAAAAAAAACATTTTCCATATAACCATGAAAATGAAAGTGTAATTGAGACAGGGAGAGGGTATCTTCGTTTAAAAAAAAAATCTTCATTAAAGTTTAATTCTTAAAAAAAAAATAGCTTATGAAATCATCCCAAACCTTAATCTATTTGTACATAATCACAGCAGAGTCTGAGGGGCTGAGTAATACTGTCCTGTATTGTCCTGTTTTGCAATCTGTTCATAGTTCTGGGGAATCCTACTCTAAGTCTGTTGTTGCTTTATAAACTCTTTTCTTCCTGACCAAAATTAGTAATTACATTTTCATATTTAGTGTAAGTTAGTTTGGTGTTTGTTACACTAGATTTAAGGTTTTTAGATCTGTGGCTTCTTAAAACTAAGTACCTCAGTGTCCTCATGGTTTCTAAATTTAAGATATCTATTTGAAATTTCTTGGGGTGGGGGACAACCTCTGGCTTGGAAGACATTCAGGGGGTTGTGTACACATCTCAATATGGCAGTTTGTTTTCAAGAGCCAGACCGTGGATTCTAGTTATTTCTTCAGTGGGTGACCTTGTCCATTTACAGGTAATGAGAGAAGTCTTAGCCAAGAGTGGTTTGAAGGAGTCAGGAATGTAACAGGCACCTCAAACAGAGCCAATGGCCCACAAGCTCCTGAAGTCACCTCCAATGGCTTTTCAAAAGGTGTTATGATTTTCCTAAATAGAATTCTCTTATCAAACTTAGACTTTTACTTTTTGCTAATTTGACATTCTGAAAAAAATATTCATATATTAACCTGGTAGTTAGTATATGAATACTAACTATTCATATACTAATGAATATTAGTTTTGCAACCTGGTCATTTAAAAGAGAGGGACTGTGTAGGAGAACAATGGAATTCTAAGCCATTCTCCAAAATTCAACAGCTAAGACATTATCTCAACAGAGGTCCTTAACAGATGAATTGGATTTTTTTATAATACCTTACTCTTTAAGTTACATTAGTCCTTATTAATCATCTATTGCTTTTGGCTATTCACTGGAAATTAAGTTTTGACTTTTCAGGAATCACCTTTTGGTTCAATACTTCATTAGCATCACCACATCATAAAAGTTATTATTACTCATGTAATTTCTGTTCAGCCTTTTTCCTTAATAACCATTGTAAGACTCAAGCTATGTCCTCTTCATTGTATACACTTTAACTGATGAATCACGGTGTTTTAAAATGTGTTATGTTTGCCTTAAATGTACAAATAAGTTGAGTTCTCAAGTGGCCTTCAGCAGACTACCCATGGTATTGCAAAACTAAGATGCCTGTCAGGTGTTCTATAGGTCTCACGTTCTGAAGCAGTCCAGGAGCAAAAATTAAAAAAAAAAAAAAACTCAGATGAACGTATTTAAATTTAATTATTTCTCCAAGTATATCTACATATATTCTGAAACTTAAAAAAAAAAGTAAGAAAGAGACAAATACACCGCTTAGGTTTTTCTGTGGAAAAATCTAGACTCATGTGATCAAGGAAATGCATAACTATAAAATAGAGAAGTTTTTCTTTTTTCTTTTTTTTCTGTTTTGAGACAGGGTCTCCATATATTGCTGGGAGGTCTTACTAAATTGCTGAGGCTGGCCTTGAAATTGCGATCCTCCTGCCTCAGGCTGCCTAGTACTGGGATTAGTACTGGGATTATAGGAGTGTGCCACCACACGATGTTTATTTTTCCTTTAAAACATCAAATCTATCTTTTTTTTTTTTCTTTTCAATTTAAGGAGCACTAAGCACGTCTTAAAAATGGTGGCAGAATGGCTGAGCCAAGCCAAAGCTCTGTGCTTGAGTGGACCCATTCAACTTAGGAAGTAGTTTAAGCAGACATCCAGGGTCACTTGAGTAGGTTGGCTCTCAGAAAAAGGGGTGCAACAGAGCCCTCAGTCCCAACACCTAGATTATCCTGCCAGCTTCACCCAGTAACACTCTCCAAGAGAAAAGCCCCAGTAGGCTCTATTTCTTTCATTCTGACAAATTTGCAGGGGTTTTAATACCCAACACTGTTGGAAGAGTCTAGACAGGAGCTATTTGAAATCTAGATCTCAAAGTGATAAAGCAAGACAGCCTCAGAGAAGTAGAGCCGGAGACCTACAACCTGTCCATGTGGCCTTGCTCACCTTGTGCATGACCCATGGCCCCTCAGAAAACCCAAGAGTCTTAGGGAAAACATTTTAACCTGACTTTTAATCA